TTTTTTTTTGTCTTTAACTCTGGAATAACTGTAGGGATGACCACTACTGCTTTACATGGCTGTATTTGGCAGTAGCAAAGGAAATTGTCTTTAATAAGGGACACTTTAGACATCATCAGAGGTTCAGAATCAACTCAGGTATAAAAATTGAAAGAGCAGAATGGATGAAACAAGCCCACTACTGGCAAAGGGAAAATCAACTGATTTAAGAGACCCTGTTGTGCACAATTAGGTGAACTAATTTTTCTTGTCCTTTATTGGTTTATTCTAGTGTTGAATATTAATACTTTAATATTTGCAAACATTTATATACCAAGTGCTTATCTTTGGTGGAAAAATCCATTATGCTTTCAAAATTTAAAGTGCTTTGATTCCTCTGTGGGCAAGGAAGTGTGCAGTTTTAGGAACACCTCAAAGACTTAGGGTTAAATCTTGACATTCACTTACTCACTGTGTGACCTTGAACAGATCAGTTAACTTCCCTGAACTTTGTGTTTTAAGGGAAATCATCTCTTCCTTGTAATATTGTTCAGAGAACTAAATGAAACAATATTTGGGGGCAACATGGCTAAGAAGCACTCAATAGATAGTACATACTATAGTATGAATTATATTATAGTCTGAAAGCTACCTTTCAGCTTCTAAATTCCATAAAATTTGCAAAAATGAGCAATTATTATGAAATTTCTCAAAGTGTATATGATTTAAAAATGACTACATTGCCAAATAAGCTTGAGAAGTTGTACATGCTCTATCCCTTTTCTCTTGTAAGCCAGAATTCATTTTCAATATAATTGAATTTGCTGAGATTCCCCCAAATAAAAAAAAATCTTTAGCTTCATGAAATCAGGGTCTCCTAAACTCATGTGATCTCAGAAACATCTTTTCTAGAAGATATATTAACATCCTAAGAACTTTTTTGTATTCCATTTAGAGATAGGCCAAGATCATAATTATTTTAAATGCTAAGTATAAATAAATTTTGAAATTAAGATACACGAAATGATCTGTGATACTTGGATGCCAAAATTAAGGCTAATTTGATTTTAAACAGCAGCAAGACAAGGCAGAGTAAATGAGAAATACAATGAAAGTTTTAACTAGGGCCAAGTTTTGTTGGTAGTGCTTGATTGACTAAAACTACCTTTGGAATTAAGGATATCCAGGAGCTTGGTGAAATTCCTGGTGCAGTTGTTTATTTGCCACAGTGTATCAGCATAGTACTATGGTTCCAAGTCTACTTGCAAAGCCAAGATTAAGTACAGTGGAACATGTAGAAATACTGGGACAATTACAAATCCAGCTCACAATATTTGCATTCATATATTTTAGGAAGAACACCAACTTTGTTTTCTTTCAATTTCCATAAATAGTGTTGGATTTTTCTTAACACTTTTACTTATTTATATTTACTTTCTTTTTTAAGCTAGCAATTTCCCTAAATTTACTATTGTTCTATAAGGATATTACATGTAGTTCTAACAGAGAGAAAAGAGACTGCAGGATTAAAGGATTGGGTTTTTAAATTACTTTGAAAGCAAAAGAAACAGAAGGTATGAAAGCTGTTACTTCTATGTTATTTTTATGATTATCCACTTTATCATTTTTAAGCAACAAAATATTTTATATTAAAGCATCATTTTAATGAGTTCAATATTAATCAAGTTCTTAGCACTCTTATTAACTATAATTTATTGAGGTTTTAGGTGCACCTGTTTTCAGATTTCTGTAGCCATACCCATATGAAAAAGAACATTCCACAGTTATTGCAGTCAAACATACTCAACTCTCAACAGTTTCTAAAGTTGAGTAAAGATAAGCATTTAAATCATCTGATATTTACTGTCCAACTCTGGCCTTTTCAGCTATTACAGTACTTGGAGTGTGCATTATAATTTTGGGTAAAATTTTTTTCCTCATCCTATTGAATCTTGTTAACATTTATAGTAAAGGACAAACAATCCACCTATCCTGATAAAATATATTATAGCTCCCTGCAACCTTTGCATTTAGAATAAATGCCAACTTGTTTTAGGTATCCGTTACCACTTTCAAATTGCATTGTAAAATGTAATGCAAATATGAGTTCTTACTTAGCAGGATCTGTCTTGTTCAAGTGTGCAACAGTAGAGGGATTTTTCAACATACTGCAGCTGTTACCTATGGAGGAAACACATTTCACCTTACTAAGACATATGTCATTATGGACAGGTTCCTTAGTGCTTCCTTAAGCAATGCTATTACATAATGAATTTCACTTTGAATACAGCAAATCGTACTATTGCTGCCCACTTGATTTCTGCCTCTAGGTTGGTTTTAAAAGAGAAGAAATTTTTAAGGGCAATGAGAGTGGAAGTGGAGAAAGAGTTCATTTTAAAAGATGCAATATTTACCAAGGTCATAAAGAAATGTGCCTATATATACATATCTAGTTAAATAATACATGTGCATCTCTGTATACATGCTGTGTCCAGAAAATATTTGCAAGAATATAACCTAAAGGCAGCCTCATGAATGACAAAAATGAAAAAAATTAAACTCATGTATGAATAGGTACTACAGGTAATGTAGAAGGTAGGACAGTATCCACAAATAATGTAATAAATCCTTTGCTCATTGGATTTTTTGCCTAGATTTGAGGCCTTTAAACATCAACCAATTATGGTAAATGTTTAACTGTAGGAGTTCAGGCAGACAGCCAAAATCTGGTTTCAAAGCTATTGCTAGTTTTAGCTTAAAGAGTCTTTCATTTTTAAGTAAAAGCATTTCTGGGTACTGGCTATACCCTATAGCTGCTAGAGCTACTGGAATTTGAATAAGTAGATTAGGCAAAGCATAGGTGTTTAAGAAATGGGCCCTGCAGTATTACCTGAAATGTGTGAACGAATAGGGTACCAGGAGTCCTAGGGAAATACTCCCCACGTATAACTTAGCTCTATTTAGCTAAAGCCAGTTTGTTCCGACAGACACCAAGTAAAGAGAAAGAGTTGTTTTTCTTAGCCAAGCACCTACACAAACAGCAAGGTTAGGGGAGAAGCGAGCTAAACCACCCGGCTCAGACTGTCCTTGTTAGGAAAGCAAGGTATTTGAAATACACACACGATAGCCAAACTCCCCCTCCCCATAGTTACATTTGCTTTCTTATCAAGCACACGGACTAAATTGCCAATCTGCATGAAACTGATTTGAACACTATATCCCTTCCTCAGGATATTCCTACCCTCTTGCGGAAGCGCTAACAAATGGGTAGGAGAAAGGGGCCTAGACAATCCACACACGGGATTTGCAGCCTCTGAATGTATATTTGAGATGGCAACTGCTTAAGCCTCTTTGGCACAGACATGACAATGAAGGAGCTACTGAAGTGACTTTTCTTAGTTCATTTTGTCTCATTTTCTATCTTCCCAAGGTATTCCGTGTTTTTTTTCCACAGACCCTTCCGACCAGCCCCAAAGCTTTAAACCTTGCCCCCCTTCCCTAAAGTCTCCCATTCACCACCACCCTATCCAACCAAAGTCCCCTCCCAGTCACAACCAAAGCCCGGAGAAGTGGAACGCACACAATGCCTCCCTTATAGGGCTTGAGCTGGGGACTGGGCATGCTCAGTAGCCAAAGCAGATTTTTTTTTCTTCTTCTTTTGGTAGCAAGTGCGGCATCTCTCCCAGTCCCACACCTCTTTTTCCTCTATCTCTATACCCTCTCCCCACCCCCAGCTCCTTAGTCACCCCGCTTAACCTGTTCGACGCCGAAGGTTCGCAGAGTTCTAAGGTATGGAGAGTTAGCCGTCTCCTAAACCCACGAAATAGTCTCACTTTGGGCTAAAGCTTCACACTTTTGCCTTAAAGCCCCCAGCCCTTTACGCGCAGACAGGTAGGGGGAGTGCGAAAACTACTGGATCCCAGGAAGCTGGCCCCAAAGAAGGCTCCATCCAGGATCGCCCGCTACCGAAGAAGTATTCCCGGAGCCCTCTGTTCGGTGGGGTGACAATTAGCCAAAGGTACTGTACTCGTGATACAAAGCCCAAGTGCGATTGTTGCCTTTGAATGTCATTGTTGTTGACTCACCCCCCTCGATCCTGGAATTATTCAATTCCGCGTAGACTCGACGCCCCAGTCTACCTCCCTCGACCCATCTTCCCCCCAGCTCTCCGATGTTTCTTTGGCTTTGCCTGGGTTCTTGGTTGCTCTCTGAAAGGAACGCCCCGGTTGTGTGTGTGTGTGTGTGTGTGTGTGTGTGTGTGTGTGTGCGTGTGTGTCTTCGTTTTTTAGGGGACTGGGGGAGGAGAAAGGACTCGAGTTTGCGTGTATGTGATGGGGGGATGGAGGTTGGCGCCCTCGCATTAGGGAACCACTGTCTCTGTGCATGAGGAAAGGGGTCGCTCCTCCCTAGGGGATGTTTTAGGAATAAAGAGGGGGCGGATGCTGAAAGGAAAGTGAGCTGCCTTTCCCTATGTGTGGGTAGAAATCAAGTGGGGGTGTCTGAGTGGGGGACGGGGGAGCTCAGGAATGTGCGGGGGTCGAGGTGCTTGAGTGTCAGGAGGGAAGGCTACGTGTATGCTGAAGGGGGGCGGGGGCGGGGATTGAGCAAGTGTATGTAAAGGTGCAGCCCGTGTGCGAGAGGCTGGGTGCGCGCGCGGTGTCTCGCGCGGTGTCTGGCCCGGTGCGCGCGCGCCTCTGCCCGGCTGCTGGCTTGCCCGGGCTGCCTGGTGGGTTTGACGGGCGAGCGAGCGCGGAGGAGCTGGAGATGGGATCACGTAGTGAACATCGCTGAAACTGCAGCACGGACCGCGGCGCCGCACGCTCTATAAGAGCCACCAGGCTCCGAAGGTGGGTAAATTTACAGTGGGGGCTGAGAGAACTGCACTAACACGCGCTCCCTCTTCTCCCCTCAGCTCGGTAGCTAGTGTGTGTGCGCGCGCGCGCGTGTTTGTGCGCACGCGCGCGCGCTCGTGCGCTGAGGGGGGCAGGTAGCTTATTATTTTTAGTTTGGGTCGTGTTGGTTTGGGGCTGGCAGAGTGGCCAAAGCGGCCGTACTGGCGACTCCGCCTCCGCTCCCGCTTGCTTGCCCGCGGCGTGGTCGCAAGTCCCTGAGGACCTAAAGAATCTGGTGTTCTGAGCTTCGCTGCCCCCCAGGAAGGCAGGGGCGGCGGGGAAAGTGCCCTAGTCTAGGGCGGCTCGGACTGTCGGGGCCGCTGCACTGGGCTTTGTTTTCTGTGTGCCCCGTCGCAGACACTCTAGGCGGACGTGGATCTGAGGCTCTGGGCAGTGGCCCGCGAGCTGGTCGGAGATTTCTGGCACCCAGCGAGAAAGGGGATACGAGAGAAGCCGGTGGGTAACTCTAAAAGCCCTGCAAAGCTGGGCAAGCGCTGGTAGCGCGACTTTGCAAGATGCCCAAATGTTGAGCTGATATCTGGCTTGGTGAGAGCAGCGTTTTGTGGCTGGCCAGGGTGAGGTGGGGGGGGGGGGGCGAGGGAGGCGGCGGTGCGGGCAAGGGGGAGCCTGGGCCGACGCTCTCAGCCAAGGAACGACAGGGTCACTATTCATGTGAAAATCGGGCCAGTGACACCCCAGTGGCCATCGCCCTCGTGGCCTGAGCTGACCATATCTTCCCCCTCAATCACTGCACGTCCGGGTCTAGAGAGGCGGACGGAAACTCCAGCAGCTGCCCCTTGTGGGACGGGAGCGCGCAAAGAAATGTGTGCGCATCGGGTCTGAAGGCCCCCAAGACATCCGGAGCGGTCCCCACCTCCGCTGCCGGGCCCACGAGGCCGCCGCTCGGGCTCGGACCCGGGAGGGGGCTGGTGCCGGCTCCCGGCACCAGGATGCGGCAAAACATTGCGGTACGCGCCATCGCCAGCGGCCCCTTCAGCCGCGTCGCTGCCGGCCCGAGGTAGCGCACAGGGGGCGGCAGTGAGCGCGTCTCTCCATGGAACCCCCCCCCCCCCACTCCGTGCCTTAGGCGGGCAGACAGAGGTTTCCCAGGCCAGGGGTGCCACCTCGGCCCACCCTCCCGGGCTGTTTGCTCCCCGCATACCAGCTCTCTTCACACGAGTGCGGAGCGCCAGGCGCGGCACTCAGGTAGTTCCTGGATTTGTGGTAAAGCTAGGTTTGTGCAATCATGGCCAGCCTTGGGAGCTGAGCGTCTTGCGGGGCAGAGAGAGAGAGAGAGAGAGGGAGAGGGAGAGGGAGAGGGAGAGGGAGAGGGAGAGGGAGAGGGAGAGGGAGAGAGAGAGAGAGAGAGAGAGAGAGAGAGAGAGAGCGAGCGCGAGAGCCAAGCCACTCTTGGCAGCCTAAGAGATAGCTCTTGGTACCTAACTCATACTTTGTGTTTTCTTTTTCTTTGCTGCCTTCCCACACCACCGTTAAAACGGGCATGTTTTAGTGGTGCCATGTGAATGTGAAGTTTTTTTCCCCTTACATGTAATGCCCCCTTCCCCTCATGCTAGCTGCCTTCTCCTAGCTCTTAATTTCTTCCCCTCTCTACTTCTCCATGGTCTCTTGCCCTTTCAATCTCTCTTCCCTTCTCTCTTTAGGCGGATGACTACCCAGTTCCCTTGCTTGGCCCTCCAGCTGTCTTGGCTTCCTCTGTTTCATAGAGCTGCATTGGGGAACTTCCTAGCACTTCCTTGCGCTTCCCCTGCCCCCTACTTAAAGTAGAAATTGGGAGAAGGAAGGTAGCGCCTTGTGCATTTGAGATCTGTTCATGCTCCTTGTTCTTATTTTTGTACTGAATTCAGGTTTTTGTTTTGTTTTGTTTTTAATTTGGTTACTTTTTGGTTTCTTGGGGCGGGGGGGTGGTGGTAGGTACAAGAAATGACTCAACCGAACTAGAATTTCTGTTGAAAACCACATCTATAGCAATGAAAAAAGATCAAGTAAAATTTTGATTTTACAATGAAAGTTGGTTTGAATGATGTCATACTTAAGAATTATGACTTCTTTTTGCACTGCCAATCAAGCTGTCACAGTGAATAGGGGGAATGCAGGTCTATATGGCAGCCAAGGAGAATCTTGGCGGTGCTTCCTGTATGCTGAACCGCACTACTTAAAATGCAAATCTTCCTGGGTCGTGGCTAATGAATTGTCTACCTTGAGACATGTTCAGTTTACCACTGGCTGATTCCTCATGGGTAAAATAAACAAAGGAGTTTCTGTGTGACACTTCTGTCTTTGTATCATTCCCTCATTGTGTATTCCTGGGTGATTTATTTAATTAATATTTGGTGGTAACCATAATGAAATTGCAGCCAGCTTCCCATTCAAGATGGAAAAGACTCACGTGGTTAAAATAGCATCAATAAAAATCCACAATGCTTGTTGTTCCTTTTAATCTTTTCTATGATGCATTGCATATATTTGTGTATGCATGCAGTATTTAAGGATTGGCTAAAACAGGTTAATTTGCTAAGCATTAAACTCCACTAGAGTGATTCTTGATTTGTTTATAGAGAGAGACATGGGGTGGTAATATTGGGAAGGGGATGTTTGGAAAATGATTTTAGGACACACATTTGCTATAATATCTGTATTTGGTGCTGCAGATACAGCCACTCAACAATTGTAGTGTGTGAATTCTTCCTCAGCATTGGCAGTCTGTGGTCAAAGTGAAGCAGATAAGCATTTGAGCTAAGTGTCAGTCAGTCGGAGCTGGGTTCAAAATGGCACACAAAGTAATGGAAGAGGGCCACGTAGGTAGGAGATCCAGTTCTTGGGGGAGGGAAAGCCGTTTGGGCATCAGGTAAGCAACGTAGGAGCAAGGAGTTTTCTCTCCTGTATTCAGGAACCCAAAGATGAAAGGCTTTTCCCCCTGTTTGGAAGAGGACTGACAGGAAACTAGATATGGTTTATTTATCTGAATCCAAAACTCGGCCTTCCTTACTCAGTTATTTTTCTAGAACCTCACAGGATAATCTGTGTGTGAGTTGTTTTTTTTTTTTTTTTTGAGGTAGTAGTGTACAGGAGTGAACTGATTTGTGGCAATGTGCTTCCCAATGGACTGAAGCTCAGACATATCTTTTCTGAGGGGCTCCTTCCACCTTGGCCTTTCGACTGTCCCCTTTATAGCAGCTAGATCATCTCATTGACATACTCCATTGAACGCAGAGATCTAATATCTCTTCTGTTCAGCTTCTTATCAAGCTGAAGGCTAGAGAGTAGAAATCTACTAATTGAAATGCCTTTGTGGTGCTAACTACAGGCTGACTGTGATGGGCTGGGATCAGTCATTAAAGTTCCAAATAGGAAGCTTAAGGTCTATGTTTGTTCAAGGTCACAGTTTGGTGGTCCATGTAGAGAAAATATTTCAGATTTTTAAGGTATAAGCATGATCAACAGTCTTTTTTCCTGTTGTTTGTCATGTGTTCTGCACCTGTAAATGTTGTATAAACTACAGGTGTGGAAATTAAATGTATGCCATTTTTATTGGTTATTGTTTGAGTAAGTGAGAATGTTTACAGCTTTTGGTGCCTTAAAAATACAAAGCTAATAATTACAGCCAGATTTTCAGTTACTGTACTTATAAGCACAAATAACTTTTCAAGTAAGTATCATTGAAAAATGTTTTCTTTTTATTTTTTAGATTATTTCTCTTTATTCAGAAGCATAACGTTGTTTGCTGATTGCAAGAAGATGTTTCTTTGGCTCTTTCTGATCTTGTCAGCCCTGATTTCATCGACAAATGCAGATTCTGACATATCGGTGGAAATTTGCAATGTGTGCTCCTGTGTGTCAGTGGAGAATGTGCTGTATGTGAACTGTGAGAAGGTTTCAGTCTACAGACCAAACCAACTGAAACCACCTTGGTCAAATTTTTATCACCTCAATTTCCAAAACAATTTTTTAAATATCCTCTATCCAAATACATTCTTGAATTTTTCACATGCAGTATCCCTGCAGTTGGGAAATAATAAACTGCAGAACATTGAGGGAGGAGCCTTTCTTGGCCTCAGTGCATTAAAGCAGTTGCACTTGAACAACAATGAATTAAAGATTCTCCGAGCTGACACTTTCCTTGGCATAGAGAACTTGGAGTATCTCCAGGCTGACTACAATTTAATCAAGTATATTGAACGAGGAGCCTTCAATAAGCTCCACAAACTGAAAGTTCTCATTCTTAATGACAATCTGATTTCATTCCTTCCTGATAATATATTCCGATTTGCATCTTTGACCCATCTGGATATACGAGGGAACAGAATTCAGAAGCTCCCCTATATTGGAGTTCTGGAACACATAGGCCGCGTTGTTGAATTGCAACTGGAAGATAACCCTTGGAACTGTAGCTGTGATTTGTTGCCTTTAAAAGCTTGGCTGGAGAATATGCCATATAACATTTACATAGGAGAAGCTATCTGTGAAACTCCCAGTGACTTATATGGAAGGCTTTTAAAAGAAACCAACAAACAAGAATTATGCCCCATGGGCACAGGCAGTGATTTTGATGTACGGATCCTGCCTCCATCTCAGCTGGAAAATGGCTACACTACTCCCAATGGTCACACTACTCAAACATCCTTACACAGATTAGTGACCAAACCACCGAAAACTACAAATCCTTCCAAGATCTCTGGAATCGTGGCAGGCAAAGCCCTCTCCAATCGCAATCTCAGTCAGATTGTATCTTACCAAACAAGGGTGCCTCCTCTTACACCTTGCCCTGCGCCTTGCTTTTGTAAAACACATCCTTCAGATTTGGGACTGAGTGTCAACTGCCAAGAGAAAAATATACAATCCATGTCTGAACTGATACCAAGACCCATAAATGCCAAGAAGTTGCATGTCAATGGCAACAGCATCAAAGATATGGATATCTCAGACTTCAGCGAGTTTGAAGGACTGGATTTGCTCCATTTAGGCAGCAATCAGATTACAGTGATAAAGGGAGATGTATTCCACAATCTCACTAATTTACGCAGGCTGTATCTCAATGGCAATCAGATTGAGAGACTCTATCCCGAAATATTTTCAGGCCTTCATAACCTGCAGTATCTCTATTTGGAGTACAATTTGATTAAAGAAATCTTAGCGGGCACCTTTGACTCGATGCCAAATTTGCAGTTACTGTACTTAAACAACAATCTCTTAAAGAGCCTGCCCGTTTACATTTTTTCTGGAGCACCCCTTGCGAGACTGAACCTGAGGAACAACAAATTCATGTACCTACCTGTCAGTGGGGTCCTCGATCAACTACAATCTCTTACACAGATTGACTTGGAGGGCAACCCGTGGGACTGTACTTGTGACTTGGTGGCATTAAAACTGTGGCTGGAGAAGTTGAACGATGGGATTATTGTGAAAGAACTAAAATGTGAAACACCTGTTCAGTTTGCTAACATTGAACTGAAGTCCCTCAAAAATGAAATCTTATGTCCAAAACTCTTAAACAAGCCATCTGCACCATTCACGAGCCCTGCACCTGCCATTACCTTCACCACCCCGCTGGGTCCTATTCGAAGTCCTCCTGGTGGGCCAGTGCCTCTGTCGATTTTAATCTTAAGTATCTTAGTGGTCCTCATTTTAACTGTGTTTGTTGCTTTTTGCCTTCTTGTTTTTGTGCTGCGACGAAACAAGAAACCCACGGCAAAACACGAAGGTTTGGGGAATCCAGAGTGTGGCTCCATGCAGCTGCAGCTGAGGAAGCATGACCACAAATCCAATAAAAAAGATGGGCTGAGCACAGAAGCTTTCATTCCACAAACCATAGAACAGATGAGCAAGAGCCACACATGTGGCTTGAAAGAGTCAGAAACTGGGTTCATGTTTTCAGATCCCCCAGGACAGAAAGTGGTCATGAGAAATGTTGCTGACAAGGAGAAAGACTTACTACATGTAGATAGCAGAAAGAGATTGAGCACAATTGATGAGCTGGATGAATTATTCCCGAGCAGGGATTCCAATGTGTTTATTCAGAATTTTCTAGAAAGCAAAAAGGAGTACAATAGCATAGGTGTCAGTGGCTTTGAGATCCGTTATCCAGAAAAACAACAAGACAAAAAAAACAAGAAGTCATTGATAGGTGGCAACCACAGTAAAATTGTGGTAGAGCAAAGGAAGAGCAGCGAGTATTTTGAACTGAAAGCAAAACTCCAGAGTTCCCCCGATTACCTTCAGGTCCTTGAGGAGCAGACGGCTTTGAACAAGATCTAGGTCATGTGATCTTCATGCAGAGGACATTTATTTAATGATGAAAGTGCCTTTTGTTGACTTCTAACTTCCAAATACTATATTATCAATAGGCATAGAGGCAGGTGTTTCCAAGGTGTCTCATTAACTGCAGCTGCAAAGATGTGTCCAGAAGAGAATTTCCTTAATAGATTTTACTACATAAAACCTATACTGTGGAGTCCTGTGGGGATACTGCAAACTCTATTGCCAAAGGGATGCTTTATATACATAACACACTGAATTTAACCTCAAGAGGCAAATGTGTTTTGTACCCCAATACAAAACCTTTGTCTCTTTGTGCTTTGTAAAGCAAAGTCAAGAAAACTGTACCAGTGTTCGCACCTCAGCTGGGTCCTTCATCTTGCACGTAGATTAAGTTGGTGGAACTGGAGTAATCCTTTTGATTTGTGGAATTGTAACAACTCTGTGTAAAGATTATCTGAAAAGTAAAAAAAAAGCATGCAAAGAGAGAACATTCGATAGTATTTGTAAATTGGTAACCTTTATGGCCTGCATCTTGAAACTGCTGGATTTATAATGTTAAATTGTGCAAATATTTGTTTAAAATATACCATGCATCACATAACTATAAAATAAATTTGAACACTTTAAGCATTACCTGTCTATAATACATAAAACCTAAAAGAGAAAAAAATCAATGTGAGTTACATAGCGTTTGTGGTGATCTGAATAAATACGTGATGTTTATCAGAATTAAACATGGCTCAAATTAAACTAACATTAGAGTTTGTTCTCAGTTATGTGAAATACCCACAATCCTTAAAGGTTGTCCAAAATTAGCAAAGTGCTTACCATGTGAGCGCACCCAAAGCTATTTTTGTAACATAATTCATATTTATGAAGTACTTTGTATACTAAATAGGAAAATATGTACTCCTTAATATGTATTTAATATGCCTGACTTGTTTTCCTGATCACAGGGAATTTATCAATAAGTATAAATTTAGGCAGAAAAAATATACCAAACTGAAACTGAAGTTTATGTGTACAGAAATATTCTGGACATTGTGATCAGGTATAATTTAAAAACAAAACAAAAAAACCAAAAAACAAACAAAAATATTTAAAAAAACAGTTCTGTGCTATTCTTGAGAATTCAGCATATTATCTTCAGATTTGTTACCAACTGTGCATTTTAAAATAGGTCCCTTAGTTTTATAGTATCGTGTCTGGGGCAGTTGTTATTTGCCATCAGTTGTCTTGCTTTTCAGGATTCTAGGAGCTTAACTAAAATAGTTTTCATGACAAATATTTTAAAAAGTAATGAGTAAGGTTAATAGTTATATCTCGCATCAGTATCCTGTTCTTTCATCATCCTGACTACTATCAGATAATCAAGGAGAACATTAAACATCATGGTAACCTCAGCTATCAAAGCCACTCTGTAAAATGCTTTCATTGGTCTCAGATGAGTTCATAGTCTGCAAGTACAAATGATATGCCACTGTGTTTGCTTGTGCTGTTAACTTCGGAGTGAAACTTGGTCAAAGGAAGGAGATACTTTATAATGGGAGATACATGAAGATTTTTAGGAGCTCCTGATTAGCAAAGTGACATCCCCAAACACGTCGCCTTCTTGGCCTACCTGTGTGTGTATATTTTTGGAGCTCCATCTTTTATAACTATTGTATTCATCAGTAAGATGACCAAGAAGGTAAACAACATAGACATTCTTCATGAATTTCAAGTGGCAGATGTTTTAGTACAGTTTCCAAAATGATATTATGGTTAGAGTTGTGATATTAGTCCCTTTATTGATTACTAAATTCAGGGTTTTCTATGTTTGTTCCAAGATTAAAAAAAAACCTTGGAATTCTTGCAGGTGTGTGTGTGTGCATACATATCAATAATTTGAAGATTTTTTTTAAATAGCAAAAAAAATTGTCTGCATATGTGTGCCGGTGCTCCTAAAACTTTAATGTGTAATTTTAATTTTCATGACAAAATCTGTGAAAACTTTATATGAATATTTAAAAGATACAAATACTTGCTTTCTGATCTTGAAAGAAAGGACACGAAGATGTGTGCCCAACAGCTTGTTTTCATCTACAATTTCATAAGGACGTTTAATATACCATTACCCTGCTTGCATGCATTCGTGGATTAAAGGGCTCCTAATGCATACTGACAGGATAAATATGGAAAGGCTTCACAGAAAGTGTTTTAGCTTATCCTGTCAATAATGTATGGATGGATTGAAAAATCTTAAGTAGACACTTATGGAAGGAACTGGAAAGCTCCATCCATGATCTGGGATCATAGGTCATTGGGATGATGCCTTTTATTCATTGTGGTGATGCTTTGAAGATGTTTCAAGGTTTCTGCAGTGGTCAATGGCAAGAGTGCCTGCCACTATCTCAAAGCTTGCTGTAGCATATTGGCTATCTCAAACTTTTCTGCTGAAAGGTATAAATGTTCACCTTTTTTAAAACAAAAAAAAGTAATTTAAATATATGTGGTTATTTGGAAGATCTAATTGTAAGTGAATTACAGTAACACATCCTTGGTTAAGGCTGATATATTTTTCTTAACTGAAGTCATTGTGCCTACATTATACAGTGTATACTATTTTGCATCTGTCTCTCATTAGTTCTACTTGTATATTTTATGATAACATAGTTAGGCATAAGTTTTTAGTTGAGTACAAGAGCAGTTAAAATACTGTATCTACATTTTGTTGGCTTCAGCTATAACCTTGATGTTAGTTTAACCCCTTGAGGAATGATATATATGTCAGTACAGCATTTTTGGCAGAATTTGATTCAAATCTAGAGAATTCAAGAAGTGCTCATTTCTAATGTGGTCTGACACATCATGGGCTTCTTGGCACTGTATCATGTGCTTGGACTCTGTTAGAATGGTTGCAAAGAAAATAGAGTGTATGAATTCAGTGAAGGGGTTGAGATAATATATTATGTTCATGTAATATAAATCAAGTTTTAAATTATTTTTTTATGAAATCAATAAAGATGATTCAATTCTTTAAAAGTAAATCTTTGTGTAATTTTATGAGAAAGCAGCTATTAAAATACAGTGATTGAAGTATATAAGGCAATTTATATTCTATATTTAGTTTTCCATTCTGCATAACAAACTGAATAAATATATTAATTAGAAAATCATTTAAGACCAGCTTTCTTTTGTTGCTTTTAAAAACCATTTAATTATTTTAAGCCATAAGGATGCATACATTATACAGGGCATGGCCTCATGAGTAACATCAACAGGTATTGTGGAAATAACAGAACACATCTAGAAATGTATGGCAGTAATATTAATTTACAATATCTTTTGCATGATTTGTACATTGACATTGTATGAAATGAGCACAGTGAGTTATTTTTTTTGTTATTGTTGTCGCATCCAAAGAGCCGGGGAGAAATATATTAAGAATGTATTTATAATCACTATTTTGAAATAAAGAAAATACATTGTATTGTTTTTACCCTGATTTGATTATTAGTATTTTAGGTTAGCTTATAAGACAAAAATCAAGTAATGCTATAAAAGATAATGTAAATCACAGAAAGGAACTGTTTTAATGACTTTTGTTTGTTTTAATAACATCAAATTATTAGAGAAAATTTATTAAATGCCATTTTATGAAAGTATTAATAAAATTGTTTGCTACAATGGTATTTCTGAAGCTATAGTTTGTTAAATATATTTATTTATCTTTCCATTATTTTTCAGAAGAAATAAAGCAGTAACCAAACCGATCTTTTCACCTAGATTTGAGGGTAAGACATAGACCTTTAGAATACTGTTTGTATTCAACTTAATTGCTAACTCTATGTTAAGAGATGCTTTCTTTTCAAACATCTTTGCAATCTGTGTTCCTTTCCACTGACAGCTTCTTTAGAGAAAAGTCAGGTAGTGCCAAGATCAACATACTTTGATTCTTGCTCATTGCCATTAATCAGTTGGAATCTGACATAACTGTAGGCAAGCTAGTATAATAGTCAGTCTTAACTAGCTATTGAAATACCTTTAGCAAAACTTCAAGACCCCTGTAATCATGGCCAACTTGACTAGTTACTGATTACCTACCCATTGATGGGGTGGAGTGTGGTTTTTATTTGTTTATTTTCCAAAATGACCAAACCATCAATGTATTGTTTTTCTAGGGTTATTATGGTTGAGAATAATGAGCCAATTGCATTATGGTTCATTTGAGGGTAGCAAGGACTATAAACAGACTGCATTAAGCAATGAAGTGGATTTAAGGCATGTTTCCTTATGGGAAGATATAGAAAGAGAGAGGGAAACAAAGAGAACATAAATTAAGATTGTGTGGCCTTAGGTCTATACCTAGCTGTGCTGAAGATATAAACAGTATAGGTAGCTTATACAAATACTTTTGGATTAAATGTTTTATGTATCACAGTATATACACTACGTGATTGTGTGCCTTTTTTTAGTTCTTTATGAGTAGTGAGCACAGAGCACTGGGTCCAGCCACTCAGTTATGTAGACAAGTGGCATCAAATGAAAGCTTGGCTTCCTTTCCAGTGCTCATTAAATTAGTCACCATGGTCAGATGGACTAAACTAAAATATCCTGTTTGTGGCCTCACTTACTGGGAATTACTGATGACATACATCAAGTTCACCTGATAATTGTTAACCCTAAACTTCATATTTACTGGGGAGTTGTCCTTTGTTAAATTAAAAGCAAATTAGAGGTTAAATGAATTTTAATAGCTTATTGTGTGGAAAGCTATCCTTAATCTAATTTTGAATTTCATTTTGTTTCAGTTCCCACTGGTTGACAAGATTGCATTTTAGAAGGGGAAATCAAGGAAAGCAAACTGAACTGCCTATCTTATATGAAACACTAAGACTTTTTAATTTTTAAAGGTTCTTTTTAGCCTGTTGTTTTTATGTCTAGAGAGGGAAAATGAAGTGGGGCTCTGAGACAACTACTTGAACACTTTGAGCCAAATAATTGCTATTGAGAATAAAACAATTCAAATTTTTTATTAAATCATAATGACTAGATCTGCTGACTCTGGAATCCAGAACCAGGAAAGAATTACTCAGACCTCCACCTCAGTTTGCTTTTGTAGACATACTGGATAAATAGAAATTCTTATGATTTTTAATAATACATCAAAATGATAAATTACTTGTTTAAAAAGCTCATGAATAAGGCCTTCAGAGAAATGATATGAATATGTAATGAAAAAATATAAAATATCACTTTTAAATTAGCTGTAGGAAGGAAATAGTCTTCTAAAGTTCTTCAACAACATATTTCTCTTATTTGGCACCTCATAAAGTAGATAATTTTACATGCTGCTGGTTTGCAGCCTAAGGAGGCCATGTTGTACAGCCGATACTGCTCATGGAAGCCTTTGAAAATCACAGTAAGCTCTGTTCTCCCTATGAAAAATTGCAATGTATATTTCAATCATTGTTCCATGTAAACTGAACAATTGTGGTAAAATTCTGGAGTTGATATCAGTACTTTTAATGCTGTTTTCACTAATAAAAGTCTTTTCTTATAGGTCATATTTGTAGCCATTCAGTGTGTTTATTAGTGTGAAATTAGTGAAGCTCAACATCAAAAAGAAATGTAAACAATGTTTTTAGCTCATGTAATTGTTTATTGGTTTACATGATAGGCCAGGTCTACCTACCTACCTATACATACACACACACAGGAATGCACAGAAAATGAATTATGCACAAAGGGAATTATTTAGTTGATGTAAACAAAATGTTTCTGACTTGACTACCTAGATTTTTCAAATAAAAGCAGGTATTTGGGGCCCAAAATGATGTTTCTGCTGGTTGCTGCACTTTTTTAAAAGTATATTTTATTGATTACGCCATTACACCTGTCTCACTTTTTACTCCTTTGCCCTTCTCTGTCCTTTACCCTCTCTCCTACCAGCATTCACCACCCCCCTTAATTCATGTCCATGGGTCATACATATAAGTTCTTTGGCTTTTCCATTTCTCATACTATTCTTAACCTCTCCGTTGTCTATTTTGTTTCTACCAATTATGCTTCTTAATCCCTCTACCTTCCCCTGCCATTCTCCTCTTTCTCCCTCCAGGTTGATAACCCTCCAGATGATCCCCATATCTATCATTCTGTTCCTGTTTGGTTGCTGCAGTTTAGATCGAAACCTGGCTACTGTTTGATGTACAGTAGAAAGTAGACCCAGTTCATCTCCCAGGACTCCCTTGGGTGTCAGTAATGTCTATTGCCTTGAGATTTAATTTTTATTTCTCTTATGTATTAACTTTACCATCATTATCATTATTATCCTCAACCTATAAGCTCAGTTAATATGTATGGGGTGTGCAATTCCTAGATAAACCATGATACAAATCAACATGGCTACTATCCTTCTCAAATATTATTCACAGAATCATGGAGGGATATCAAGATCCAAAATAAAGAACCCCAGGGTCAGATTTTGATTAGAAATTATTAAGCCCTGGCTGGCATCGCTCAGTGGATTGAGCGCGGGCTGTGAACCAAAGTGTCGCAGGTTCGATTCCCAGTCAGGGTACATGCCTGGGTTGAAAAAAAAAAAAGAAATTATTAGAACATGGTCCTGGCTGGTGTGGCTCAGTGGATTGAGCACAGGCCTGCAAACCAAAGGGTTGCCATTTCGATTCCCAGTCAGAGCACATGCCTGGGTTGCGGGGCAGGTCCCCAGTTGGGGGCATGTGGGAGGCAACCACACAGTGATGTTTCTGTCCCTCTCTTTCTCCTCCCCTTCCCCTCTCTCTAAAAAACAAATAAACAAAATCTTAAAAAAAACTTTAAAAAACAACAAAAAAGAAATTATTAGAACGTGCATGTTAAAAAAGAGAAGAGGAGATAGTAGACTAAAAATTACTAACTAAACAGCTCTGTACCTAAGTTAAGATTGGGGAGGATTTGGGGAGGATAAAGGCAAAAGATTATTAAGGGAAAAAAAAGTGTTTGCTTATCAGACAAAACTCAGAATCTGATTACTAAATAAGAATCATGGTAAAATATGTCAAATCTTAGACTTCTCTTTTCTTATTCTCTGCTTTGGTTTTTTTTTCAAATATAGCTTATGAAATCCAGGCTATATCAACACAATGCTAGTAATTCATGTATTTTCAAAGAATTCAGTGGTTAATTAAAGTAACTAGTTACCTTTTGAGCCCCCATGGAATTTTTTCCTGGGATGACTGACATCATGGATTGACTGATTGTTAAGGCCTCCTGATACCGTTCTATCTATAAAAAAACAATAAGAAGTATTTGTGTTTAATGAGAACAAGAGGTGAGACATACATTTTATAAATAATGAATTTTGATAGGGAGCAAAATAAATCGATACAAACATTTGGGTTTCTAATGTCATGGTAAAAAGCAGCTAGACCTTTTGGGTTGTTTTCAGGAATTGAATTCCAATAAAAATTACCAAGTGCATATTTCAGAAACCATTTCCTGCAACAACCCCTGGGAAGCCACATCTCTGCCATGGGACCCCTTGTTCCATAGCAGGATGTTGTCACATTTGCCAAGTCCTCCCTGCTGGAAATTCTTCTCTTCTGCTGGTATGAACAGCCGACATCATCTATGGCACAGGCTAGCTTAAGTAGATTTTTTTTCACTGTTGTGTGATTCTTCATGGAAGTACACACAAAAAAATCTAAGATTCTATGTCCAAGCATATATTTGAGATATATTTCTGAAGCATAAAGTGAGTTATAATGTTATCACAACTAAAGAACATTTCAGTTGTATATATATTCTACATTACTATATTTGTTTTTATTTACTGGTTATCTTCCCATGCACAACAACTACTAGTTGTTTTATTCACAGCTCTCCTTCAAAGCAGAAGGTAATCTCCACCTTGGAAACTCAGTTACTTATAGAAAGAATCTTGATGCTGCTATCTGTTCATTTCCTTCTGTAACTTCTAGAAATATAGGAAATTTAATAGTGACTTATTTAAAAGGAAGTCCTACTGACACAAAAATAATTAT